TTTACTCTTCGTTTGCTTTAATATTATTTACGGTAACATCGAGAGGGATGCCGAAAACAAGGCGTCCATCGAACATGTGGATAACTCGCATGACGAGTAACGAGAGTTCTGCACGAGCATTAACAATAATAAACCATGTGTGCAGAAGACAACAAATCGCTTGGTTAACGTTGCTTAAACTATGCACGAGACTCCGCAATTTATAAACCATCATCATCAGTTTCAACGTTTATCATCGTGTTCTTTTTATTCTTCTTTTTATTCTTCATCATCATCTTCTTCTTCTTCTTCTTCTTCTTCTTCTTCTTCTTCTTTTTCTTCGTTTTCGATTTCCTTCATCAACTCGTTCTAACGTACCCACGCGAAAATGGAGTAAATTGAGATTCACTGAACAACCTCCGCGCGTGGAGCGACGAAGATATCCGAAGCGTTTGTGCTAGTAGCTCATAGATGAAATGGCGATGAAACTAAAGAGGACGCTCCTTGACGTTAGAGCGGGGCAAGAATCGCAAGGAATCATTATCGCGAAATAACGAGATGGTAGAAGATCGGTGGATGAGAGAACCGTACGACGAATTGGCGAGTATAGTTTGCGCTTTCAACTTGGTAACATCACCGTTGCCTGTTCGATGCTATCTTTTTGCAAATTTATTCGTAAAAATCGGAATTTATGTGAACATCTGTAGTGTACGTATTGATCCTTATAATTGTATCACGTGAGAACTATGACTTTACAGAATCATGAATATATATCGATACAAGTATACAAAACAATGCACTAAGATATTAATTCTCATCCAAATTTTATAATCGAATAATTAATTTAACCCACATTTCATTGAACTAATCATATTACAATCATACAAATTCGCATCAGCATTCGTAGTTAACTAGTCGCAATACCTTTCCGATTATCATCTATGAACTATTTCTTCTTAACTTTGTAAGATTTTCATGCGTTTTGTTTGAACGACTGGCAGAGATAGAAATTATTTCTTGAGCTTGGAACAATCACGCTCAGAACCATTAGTATAGGATTTGCACACGTTGCTTTCCTCGCACGGTTCGCATCTCCGTCTTCGTGTACGCGTGACAACATTTGGTGTGTATACAGAATGCAAAGACGTCCTTATTCCGAGGAATCACGAATTTCGCAGTTGCGCAATAGTATCTTCTTATCACAATAGATCGGTTAAAAATCGAATGCCGCGTCGTGTCGTCGTTGGTAAAGTGATTTTCCTGTAAGCCTTTTTTTCGAATAGAACACATTACAGTCTCTCCGATTGACATTGAAAAAATCATCGTCTAACGAAAAAACTAGAGCAACGGCGTTCGAATATAGCTGAAACACTACGTCGTCTGTGTTCTTGACGAATCCAATATAGCTACTACCGCTACCAGTCCCATTTCTCAATAACAATTACTTTCAATCGGTTCTACGTTCCCTTTACACGTTCTGCTCTCTGCTTGGTCCCACGAAATTTGCGCGATCGCTCAAGAAACTACGCGTGAGCCAATTCATTTAATGGACACCAATTTCGAGGGGGTGGGATGGAAAGGGATCTACATACGGCGATACATAGATTCGAGAGAAACGAACAGTAATTGACCAATCTCAAATACAAAGATTCTAATACGCATTCAGCTGACTTTCATCGGAATAAGGCATGCCGCCGTTTTCTTTTCTTTCTGTGTAATTACAAAAAAAGAAACGACCATCGTCTTAGTATTTGGAAGTCGATTGAGATTAATAACAGCTGAAAAGTAGCAACCAGAGGAAGGTCTCGCGGCATACAAGGCAGACCTGGGCGTCATTCGATTACTTTCGAACGATTATTCAAATAATTATCGATCGTTTAATTAATAAATTTATACAGCGTTTTGGAAAAAGGAAGAAATCCTGAAACAATGTTTTCGGAAGGTGAGATACCTTTTGTAACTATTTCCGGAATGTAGATCCCAATTATTTTCTTATTCGATACGCACATCAAATAATTGTTCGTCTTACTTGCATTCAAGATTCTGCACTACTTATTGTCTGATTCGACATACAATAAAGTTACGCGTTTCCTGAAGTATGAACGACGAAATATTAAATGAATTTTATTATTTGACGGTCTCGGTGTAGCCCGTATCATTGATGTTCTACAGGTGAAAGAATCGGCGCCCGGGTCTGTAAAAAAAGTTGCGTTCAGCGTACATTAAAGTGACGCCTCGCATTCTCCAATTGCGTGTCGTTGTTCGAAAGTTTACAAAAGTGTGTCCGCCAGCTTGCGCCTTGATTCTACGTATTAACAATTAGTACAGTTCGCGAGTGTGAATCACGCTCGATCAGCGATTAATCCTAAGTATCTTCACATTTCGGAGTATCTGAAAATAGAGATATCTAAGCATTTGTTTTTTCATTTTAATTCGTCTTTTTTCTTCGTTTTTATACACTAATCTGACCGGTAACTCTCGGATACCTCCTCTCCTTCATCTACACATGAATTCTTCTGATGAGGACTAACATCGGTACTATCGAGTTGCCTATCCCTTACAATATGTATAAGTCGTATCAAAATCAAGGAAAAATAGGTTTCGCGATTGGACGATAACGAACATGACAGTACGAGCGTCTTCCAATGGTTGTGTTTCCCTTGATCCATTCTCTTGTTCATTTCCTTTTTTTTATGTTCATTCTTATTCGCCTCGTCGTCTATCGTTCGTGTCGTAAAGTTCTCGAGAAGAGTGAACACTGCAGAAAACTTCTATCAAGACTTCGTAATGGAAGCTTGACGGAAGCTTGGGCGCGTCTCTTGTACCACTTTTCTAGTAAAGCTTTTATATATGTTTATATATGTACAAATACAACAAAAGTAACTCCGTTGTTTGAGAGCCTCTATCGTGTAGTCACGGCGGACATTAACTGTCCCGGTTCGGGTGCTTGGCAAGGAAACGTCGAGGCCAGGGTAAAGGCCAATCGTATTGTCGTGGCACCGTGCCGCCCACATTTTTCTCGAAATATTTGAACATAGGAAACCACCAGAGCCGGGCCAAAAAGTTGTTTGGTTCGTATTGCTGGAAATATGGGAATGCTTTCTTTAATAATAACAGTGCTATTAGACCGATGCGAAAAGTTTATCGGTTTTCTTGTACTCTTTAAAGTTAGATTCTTAAAAATCATTTATGTAAAGTATAGTTCTACAATGTTGAGAATCTTAAATTTTCAAAATTGTGTGCTTGAAGAGAACTTGTTTCTAGGTTCGAATATGCGCGATTTCTATAGTGAAACTGAAATGCATTTGAATCTGTAATTATGTGCATACATATATTTGAAGGATATGTGAATATCTAAGGTTAACGTATAGTCTACGTTAACAAATTTGCAAATTGGCACACGAGTATTGAATTGCTTGTTTGTATAATACAAATAAATCAAGAGATCAAAATCTTTTCAGTTTCTTAAAATATGCCACGTACTTTGTAAATCCACTAATAAATGGGTACGGAAATTATGTAATTCTACTTTGAAAAATATTTTACAAATAAATAATTCGTATTTCACGATAAAACAGAGTTTTCTGAATTGATACGTTTACTTACCTTAAGATGCGAATTATTAGCTAACGTATGATAAATATACCATAAGCGTGTGGTTACGTAGTAAGCTATGAGGACGTCCACGGTATAGTGTCCGTGAGCCACCAAGACCATTATTACCCCAACAACAACAGTTATGCCCGCCAGCCAATGAATTGGCTTACATCTTCTCGGAGAATCTGCAATTTTAAAATTGCTCTTAGTCTTCTTATCCCTACCTTACGTTTTCACAATATTTCCATCGCCATTAGATTGTTAAATAAATTCCCTACAACGTTTAACAAAAATAAAAGTTTAATTTTTAAAAAAGTTACACAAAATTTCAATTCTAAAATGGTCTAAATTAATTTCAGAAAACTACAGTCACAAAAAAATTCAATTATTCTATTCAGCTCAAACTCGCGGCTTATTAGCATTTCGTTAAACGCGTATAGCCAGACTAAAGACCGTAACAGCAGTAAGATAATTTCGTATCATTCGAAAGCCAGGAACTCCTGAATTTGTATTCAGTGGGAATCACTGTCCAGAATTTATGTAACAACCCAATTTTGTTATCCTGCCGGAAGTACGTACACTCCTTGATAATCAGGTAACTAAGTACAAGCACAACCGTGTGACCGCTGTAAATGTAATCTCCGCAGTAAGTGTGCTTGCCGTTTATAGACAAGCCGAAGCCAGAGATGAGCTGTAAAACCCTCTTCGTAATAAGAAGCGGACTCGTGTTGTTCGCTTTCGGACTGCAGAAATACGTCTTACTGGCTACCGGCAGTACTGTCACGTACATCGTGACGCTCCTCATCATATACAGCAACCCCATCAAAAGAAACACCCGCCTAACAACGATAAATCTGAAACGAAACAAGATGATACACGTTGGTAAGAATAACACAAACTTCCTGCATAGGCCTGAGTTATTGAAACAAACGCTTCCGTGATTATTATTGTTACAAGTTGGCTGGCTACAAAAATATACAAATGCTTCTAGAATTAATTACTCATTCCATTCTTATATGAACTCTGGAAACACTTGCGTAAGCCCTCCTCCATTTCATTGGAAAACCAATTACGTATAAAACATTTCGCTCGAGTTTGAAACGTAGGAAAATTATTATTGCATTCTGTGTAATGTTATAATCGGCATTAGCTTTAGAACAACAACTTCAACTGTAACTTATAACATTAAAGATATCTGTTTTAAGAATGAAGCTTTAGAACTGATCTCTTTTCGGTGTTCTCGTACCATTTTAGAAAAACGCTAACTAGGAATTATTGTACGTCTTCGTAATAATTACATTAACTACACGTGCCACGTACCTATGCTTGTGAAAAATAATAAAAACCATGGCTGAGTTGGACATTATCATAATCAAAACTTCCGACACGTTAAGGGCCCAATCCTGAGCGGCGACATTATCCAACACCACGTCCGGTAGCGGTCCATACGTACTTCTGTCGGGGACCTTTTCGTGCACCATTGCAAGGGACGCTGTCGTTAGGATGAAGTTTACGACCATAAACAAAAATGCTGCAACAAAAATCGTGGCCAGTTCGTTAATTCAACGGTTAACCATTGGAACGTTTCACATTGTAGAAATGAAAATAAAGAACAATCTTCGAAAACGTTCCTCCGTTTACCTGAACAATTTTGACTTAAGATTAATTCAATGATCGTAAATAACGTATATCTTAAAATACCTAAAGGTAGCTATAAAGGTATAAAAATGATATAATGGACGACATTAAATGTCTTTCGCCTGAAACTGCACAGAAATGCTTTTACAGGGCTAAAGGTCGAGCATCCAGCGTGATGAATGACCGTTACCAGAACGTTTCGTTACTTATTTTTAATCCCGAACGACCTTGTTCGATAGGTCGGCGAACTCGACGATACACACTACGGAAACTTCACCGTACAATTTAAAAAAGAAAAGCTACAATGTTTCCAGCGAATCGGAGTTATTCCTGTGATCGAATTACAACATCGCCCACGAATATTTACTGCACAGTGTGTATTATAAAAAGATGGCTCTCCGATGGAAAAGACAAATAACTCAATAGATAAGGGCTGTCAAACGAATTATGAGTCATTCGTGGCATCGTCAGCAACGTTATCCGCAGCGTGATAAGCCCCGCGGACATAACTTGGCGTGCGTGTTTACATCCTAAGAAAATGTTACCTTGCCTCTTTGTCGCGGTGAAAGACGGCTAAGCAATCAATAACCGCGAGCAACAGAAAATACAAGTCTACGATTACATCCATCACGTTCCGAGGAAACGTCTCGCAATAGAAAATCACTACCATATGGACAGTTAATAACACTGTTGCCATCTATCGTTTCCTCGTCGTTTATTCTTTTTAATGCGCGTCCGCTTCAATAACACTTTTTACCTCATTTTATCTTCCCCGGTGGGGCTTGCATCATGAATTCGCAAGATAAAATGATATTTCGGGAATAACCCGACGATTAAAACGAGCAATCCGTTTCGCGAGCAGCGAGAAACTCGCAGTGAAATAGCACACGTTACCGCTCCAAATGTACGAAGCATGTCACGACTTCAAATTAAATGTTTTTTAATTAAATGATTCGTTGCTCAGATTATTCTACTATAATAATGCAACAATACTTAGTTATGACTAAAGGTGAACGTGTAGTTACAATATATATTTATTTCCTAGAAAAATAATATAACAATAAAAAAGAGAATGTATAAAGAATAAAATGGGGCAAATGGGAAATAAGAGAAACACATTTCGCTTCGAAACGTGCACCTATTTTCAAAGGATAGATGAATATGACCAGGTATCGCGTTGCAACTTTCAGCATTTTCGCGATTCCGCAGAAAATATCGCTGTCAACCGAAAATCTGAAAAAAGAGATCGCTTTTCGTCTGAAGCCTGCCACAGCGGAAAGGTTAAGGGCGGTCTCTTAAAAGCGTTTTCCTCCGGCTGATAGGAAGCGGGTATATACACGCGCGAACTGAATTTTGGCGCTGTGCCATCTCCCGTAAATGTGTGTCACAGTGGTACCAGGTATCGCGACAAAGCTTTTAATTAATGTATACCGTGCACATCTCTGTGTCCGTGTTTCATCGTTGAAACGCATCTCTGTGTTACACCAGCGTGGGAAAAAATATTTTCAGAAATACAAACGGCAGAGACGCGGGTTGGCCTCGCTTCGAATTTTTGGAACAAAAGGAACATGGTCGGGCGGAATGCAAGATACTCCGGGACTCGAATTGGAAGGGAAAAAATAAAATGTTGTTTGATACTTTACAATTTAGATTTTCGTAGTACTCGACTTCGTCGCAGCTATGCACATTTCGAATCATGAATTCCGAAGCAGCACAAGGCCATTTTTTAACGTTATCCGCATGAGTTATTGATGTAACCGTTTTAATATTATTTAATAATATTAAAAATATAATATTAAATATATAATACTAAAAATGATTTAATAACATGTTCACAAAAACGTTCACGTAATGAAGATATATGTGTAGCCAATGCTTGCAAAAAGAATCAACAAAATAAATGATAAATGAGTGAGCGAAGATACAAAAAAGATTGATTGTCTCGAAAGATTGATTGGTTGACTTGTGCTCTTTTGGAATTCATTCATTTGTTTTCGATTTTACTACTATCGATAATTTGGAAGAAACGCAAAACTGTAAATGAACATTTACTCTAGAGATAATAAATTAGTAATAACAAAACAATTTTCTTTTCTTTGATCATTGTGGATAACGAACAGCATTGATTTTTATGAAATTAATCTAGAAATCTTCGTAACGAGTCTCACTCGTCAATGTACGACGAGGAGTTAAAAATCGAATAAGATATCGAATCGTCGATTAAATTGTTCGCGAAGACTAGTGATAGAAAGTATAATATTTAGTACTAATATCGTCTTTGGCGTATACGACGAATCGAAATGTTGATAATAGAAGGTAAAGAAGCTGAAGAATAATGAAATAAGAATGGGGTAAATATGCGAGGTAAAAAGAAATTGAAATGCGAAGTACATTGTTCGACTGCATGAAACGGAATGCAGAGAGATCGATAAGGTTAGGAACTGTTTTTTAATTCCACCTTGAAGAAATATACGAGGAATCAGATATTACGTGGTATGTTATGAAAGATTTAACCCATTTGCATCATACGACAAAATGAAAAATATACTACCTATAACAACATTTTTTTCATTAGATCTAAATACAATATTAATTTTAATTTTAAATAATCAAGAAATAATTTGTAAAGTATAAACGAAAGAATACATTCATAAGTACGTTATTTAATACTTTGCATTACTTTCGCTGAAATAAATTATCCGCGATCACAATATACGCTGATGATCCTACTGGATCAAATTTGGTATTAAAAGATACGAAATACATGAAGATGAATACATTACAATTTTTTAAATAATTATAATATAACATAAGGAAAAGGAATCTAAAGAACAGAATTGTAGAAGGTATATACGTATTGGTATTTAATAATATTTTGTAAATGTTCTCTGATCTACTGTAGTCGAAAAAATTCAATAGGAAAAGGTTTTCAGAGTCCAAAATTGAAGCTTTTATACTCGAAACAAAAGTGTTCATCATTCTGAAAAAAATTACACCATCAGGCAATCATCCTTGATTCACTGGAATCACCCAGAGTTTACATAATCATTTTATAAGGAATATTTCTTCATAGGTAACTGTTGAAATTAATTAACACTAGAACTATCGTACGTAAAGTAAGTAGTTTCACTTGAATACTGTAATGAATGTCTGAAGAAATTGATAATAATCGATTATGACAATTTTTATACAGATTACATATTAATCGTATTAAATGCTCGGTAGTTCTAGTGTTAATTCCTTGAAAAACAAACCAATCTTGCGAAGGAAAGGCTTATTTATACTCAGAGGGTTTAAGAGTGTAAAAAATCCATTTCTTGTCTACCCTCGGCTTGTGTGCTGTTCATAAAAACAGATCACAAAGGACAGAAATAACTGACTAAACGGAAAAACCAGAATACTCGTTGCAACGATTCGATTAGGTCAGATTCAACCGTCGAGAACTCATCGACTGCATTAGTTCAGTCTCCGCGCAGATCCACAACGAATACCAGGCCATGTAGCGACCTCGATCTCGATCTCGATCTCGATCGACACCCCGTCGTGCGAACGAATTGCGCGCAAGTAACTGCCTTAAAGAGTTCATTGCCAACTAAATTATAGGAAAACTCCTCCTTCTCCTATCCAACCAGTTAGCTGTTTTTGACGAGTATACTCGTTATGAAGAATGGCAAGGTTTTGTGTTATGGTGAGTATACTCGTCCAAATACAGTCAACTGGTTAAGGGAATATTCATCTTCAAAACAACCAATTTTATAGATATACAGTACTTGAATGAAAATGTTTGAAAAAATTATTTGTAGATATGAACACGTACACATACCAGAATAAGGTACACACTTTTAATAGATCGTTTTATGACGTGCAACCATAACATCGATGGTAAACAAACCCGTCACAGTTTTCAGATAGATTCAAATCACGATGAATCGAAATTTTACTTGAATATAACAATTAGACGTACTCGCATTCATAGATTCTTTCCCAAACGAAGTGCTAGCGTTATTGATATAAAGTTCATGTTTTATTCAATAATTAGATATGTCATCTTAATCGCAATTTGTGAATAACAAAAGGATATCAACATTTTCAAGAGATAGGGATAACATTGCAATCTTTGCTCTTTTTAATCGTGCTTAATTGAACAAATGTACAAGTCTCTATCTCAACAGGTGTCAACTGAAGTATTATCTTGTCATAATGAAGATAACCAATAACAATTTTTATATACTTCGTTTATTTCTAAAGTAACAGAGTTAATGATGTTGTTTGTCCACAACAGAATGAAACACCTGCACTTTTAGGCAAATGGTTCTATCAACATCGTAGAAAAAGTATTTTGGTATGCTTCATCAAGCAAAGATCGCAACTTTTAATCTTATCTGTATGGAGAGCAATTTCGCGAAACAATCAATTTTGATACATTGAAATGTCAGTGAATTACCTCTTCTAATCAGTTTTCATCGAACGAAACTTCCTGTTCTCACGTTTTACCCCCACCCAACGAGCATTTGTGACAAGAGCCTTCCTGTCGACTGTTGCCACAGTGGTCGTCTTCATTTACCTTTCTAATTCTTCCGAAGACTGTCAAGTGCTACGTATATCGCGGATAGGCAAGATTCTGTTTCAGTAAGAAACAAACCTTTTCAATTCGTTGCGCTTTTAACAAAGAAATATTCGCTGTAAGCGCAACGGAACACATATTAGCGAACCACTCAGCGGTTTCGATTCGTGGAATTGTTTTTCAAAATCCGAAAAAAATGTCATCATTTGATTATCAACGAAATTTAATACTCCGAAAATGTTGCCCAATCAGTTCGTATCACCGAAGTGTCTCGGTATTAAATGTATCAGCGAGTAATCGCCAAATAAACATTACTTCAAATCCGATGTTCCCATTGATAGAAATTTTTAACATGTTCTACTTGTAAAAGCCGACCATTGTTCTGCAACGTTAACAAGAAAAAGATCGACGGGATGATTTGCGGCAGCAAAATGTTATCGACGATAACTGCAACAAATCTCGCTCAGCTCAGACGTAAGTGAATTCTATCGACTCTTCTCTATCAATATGAAAATGTTAAATTTGTCTTACGCGTAGTACGGAGCCATTCGCGCTGTATCAGTACCAGTCGCAATTTTTTCGCGGCGTTATAAGAAATCGAGTTATACGGGGGTCCACTGTATAAATCAAAATGGCAGCCATCCGAAGGGTGTCCACCTGCGAACAAAAAGTTCCTTACCAAGGAAAGTTTTCCATTTTTCCTTAGGGAAACGGGGCTCCTCGCGGAGGGGCGCAGGTATGTCTAGCTTAACGATGCCATTCCCGGAACCGTTCGGTATCCCGGGATGGCGTCCGAGGCTGTCGATCTTCTCGTCTTCTTCGTCCACGTAATAGTCCGATCCGGATGCCACCCCGGACCACTTGTCTTTCCCTTTGGTCGGCGCACCAGGTAATAACGGTTGTCGCTGGTAAACGTCGCTCGACTGTGCCATCCCGTTACTGCTTCCATCAACCGCGGCTTCGACGTCCCTCTCGTGGCCCTCGCCGGCGCCCAATGGTCGATCGAAGCTTCCGTAATCACTGTGCAAACTCGTGACCTTGGGGTCCAATACCATCCTGCGAACAGAAGGCACAGGATAAAATCAAAATCAGCTGGCGCAACACTCGGATCGCCTAAATCTCTCACGGAAATCGCACAATTCTACGATCCATCGCGATAAAACAGTTTCAAGATCGCGAGTTCCATGGAACCAGATAGACCTAACGAGCACGGACCTTTCTTCTGCTGTAGAAGAATCGGAGCAAAGAAAGACGGAGAGAGGGAGGCAGGCTGTTTGTCCCTCGATCGTGCGAAGGCTCGAATAATTTTGCATAAACGCCAGTTTGCTACGTTACTGCGTGTAAAGTCAACTTTCGTAGCGACACTCGACACGGCGATAAGGTTTTCGACAATCTTCGAGCGCAATGCGAGTCTCGGCAGATTTTTTATGTTCGTGCGAATCGATCGGTTTGCCCAAGTCATCCCTGTTAAGATAACGCCATGATTAGAATGTGGGTTTTAGTTGTTTCTAGCGTAGATGATTGGTACATTATACTCTATGCACTAAGTGTCTCTAGGAATGTGTAGAATAATTTTTGTTCCCAGCATTTCGCTAATATTATAGTGGAAGAAATAAATTTCTACTCGCTACTCGTTCTGTAGGAATAATTTAGAGAAACCTTCGTTTTCACGAACATCCACAGTCTAATCGTATCAAGATGCGTGCGTTTATGCTTCTGCTACTAGAATGGAGCTAGTGTGCAGCTCTCACGTGCTGAGTCAATCCGCAAAGATAAAAATGCACAGGGGCAAGGGGAATTGTCCTTCCAAGAAACCTAGTAGCCGAGCCTTCGCCTTCTGGAATTCGGTAAACATAAAAACCCGTGGCTTGAATAGAAACGAAATTCGACATCAATGTTCGTTACATCTCACTCCGTCGCATTCTTTTCCGTCTGCTTTTTCCGTCATGCAACTCGTCTGAAAGCATCAACTGCTGTTCTACAGCTATTGACACGAGCATCCTGAGTAGAAGAGTCCCCTTGCCCTCGTGACTTTTCAGCATGCAGGATTGACTCAGGACATGAGAGCTGCACACTATTTGAATAATACGTCTAGTCACTATGTCGCGTCGTTACACTATCAGAATATATATTTTAGGAAAACCCAAGAGCTACTATTTCAAAACAAAATCTCTTTTATTTAATGTCGCTATCACCTTGATAGGTTTCGCGTTCCTACGAGAGATCCAAGTTTTTCTAAAACCACTTGCATCATTCCACGAACTATCGTCTAGCGAAACTCGGAGCAAATGCGATAAAAAGATTAATAAAGAATTAATCAACATGCGGGATTAACTATTCATTAACATACAGGATTAAAGAATCCACTGCTTCTTTATCGCATGCTACAACAGAACGTAGAACTAGAGAAGTCCGATTCGTCTATTCTTCTACATCATTGCTACATATCACTTCATAATTATCACCATAGAAAATCAGCTATTTTAACTAAAACTGTTCATCCCTACCTCAAAATCAACGATTTAATTCTCGTTTCAACATATATCTCAAATGTTTACTATCATTCGTCATCTACCTTCAAGTATCTTTAACACTAACCATACCGGCACTTTTCCTACCGCAACCAGTCAAATAACTGGCTACCAAATAAAGGTAAACGAGTTATATAACCTTTCTGCAGTGAAGACAGAAGCAAAAGAACGGACGAAAATTGAAAGACCGATTAATCGGACAATATAAGAATTCTACATAAAGTTAAACGAACGAAAGAAAACGCGGAATTTTAGATCCGACAAGTCGAATATTCTCGCTCCAATTTTACGTTCGTTCCACCGCATTTCTTTTTCCTATCGCGACGATTTTCCCACGTTCCCGTGAATCATTCCGGCCGATCCACTCGAAAATCAATTTCCTATGAAACGATATATCCAACGGCAAACCGCCTTATCTCCTCAGGCCGAAATAGGGCCGGGTTTTCATAGTTCGATGAAACATGCAGTCCACATGCAACCGGCTCGTTGACGCTCAACGACGCGGACGCTATTACGTTCCGCTTTTAGTTATCATCGGCGGCCGAGCGGAAGGTTATCGTGTTAAGGATATTTGCAGACCGCTTCGGGAACAGGCTTCGCGGATGGGCGAGGCAAACGATATCTGGATGAAGGTTGTGGATAACATATTCCGTTCGCGCAATTTCATGGGCGGGACATTTCGCAATTGCCCGGGGGAAACGGACATTACCGTCCTGTTAACGCGGCGAGCGGATAAAATAAAATGATTCCGCAAGAACAAGGAAGATACGACACAAGAAAGGTCCCCGGTAATTCGACTTCCTTTTCCTTGTCGAGTCGTCCTTGATCGTCTACCGTAACGCGGCGGGTTTCGGTACAAAGTACGGAAATGAATTAAGTTCATCCTTCACTGACGAGAATTTTTCAAACCTTTAACCCTTTGAATGCATGCGTCCACTGGAAGTCATCGCTGTGGACTACGAGCGCATATATGCGTTTTTTTAATCTTTTTAGCTGTTTGGCTATGGCAGAATTTTACGTCAACGCGTACTTATGAGAAAGTGTATTGAAACCATCAAAACACTGAGTTAAACTAAATTATTCCAATCTAAAATAATTACATTTATATAACATGTGTATATGACTAATGGAAGCTGTAATTGTTAAATTAGAATTGCCTTATCATACTCGGACTTCGACCGGAAAGAGCTAAATATCAGAAAGAAAACCACATACGAATCTCTCGTTATTTGAATAATTAAATTATACATTCGCAGCTATCGATTTTAGACAGGACAGCTCGAAGTCGTCATTACGGCGACGTTCGACCGCAGAAGGTTAATCTGGTGAGTAATCTGTGGCTTCTTTTTATCGGTGCTTCGACCTCAGAATTCCGTGAACACGCAAAACCTTTTATTACACCGTAAACGAATGTCTGGAGGCAACAGTTACTCCAGGGAAAATTTCGTGTACATGAAAAGTTTGTCTTTAGATTGTGATTATGGATAATTTCATGGTTCTGACAGTAACAAGTGAATATTTTTCACTGTTCTCAATGTGCGGATCTTATTTCACGCGTGAAGTGTATTGAGAACTTAAAGAACTCTAAGGATTAACCTAAATAATTTCGATGACTCTTTTTATAGTTATTAGACCTTCGACGAAATAAGTAACGTTTTATGATCTAATAGACTCATTAAACTGAAAACGAATGCACCAATCAGCTCTGGTATAATTTATTCTGCCACTTCCAGGCAAAGAAATTGATTTCGTTCTTTTTGCTTCTAATCGCGCGATGGAAAACCTGTTTCACGTATTTGAAAATATCCCCAGGGTTATCGTATGGTAATTGATTACAATTAATAATGTGTTACCATTACTATGAAAATAACAGAAAATTATTGACAGATAATTACAAAAGTGAGCTTTCTCACAGAAAAGAAATACGAATAGAAAAAAATTGGACCAGTACCAAAAAAGGGTATTCAACACGTTGACTGCCACGAAAATTTCGAACGTTTTGTACAGTAATACTTATTCTTTCAGAACAATGGCAAATGGTGTTTGTAATAGTCATTAATGATTTGGCAACACAGTACTCATATTACACAATTATGTAGCTACTTATATTACCAAATATTTTTATTCAACATCAATTTTCTTGTTGTAATTGTTCCCGAGTAATTTGAAAGCTACGGTCATCGGTGACAACAGTTGCAGACAATGTGTTAACTCTATATTCGTAAATGTGAAATCGCTATTTATAATAATATCACGATAATCACTCACGAAAGTTTTTAGTCGCGTTATACGAAGTTTTACTGTACTTACGGGATGACCTAACACTTTACTTCCACGTATCACGGGAAAATATATTTCTCAATTATAGGAAGGAATTGAACGGTGTCGCGGAGACAGGAAAGGAGAGCCCGGGAAGAGAAACCCAAAAAGAAGCATCGGAAAGAGTCGTAAAAAAGGTTTCCCGGTAATTTAATTTCCGTTCCCTTCCCATGCCGTGTCTCGTAGAAGCCGGACGCGAAGCCGCAAGAGCCTTTGCCACCTGTCTCGATAAATTCTGTCCGAAAATTATTCGACCAGCGAACCGTTATCTGATCAAACGGGCCTGGATTTAATTAACCTTTTGAACGCTATGAACGCATATGTACTATTCTATATTATCGTCGAAAGTAATCGCTGTCAACTATCCACGCGTATATATGTGTTTTTCGATTGTGTTGATCTCACATGCGTCGCGTTGATAATTATAATCGTATCAGCATTTACTTTCTTAGCATTATTCAATGTAGCGCAACGGAGGAATTATAATTTACTACACTTGTATGAATTAACACTAGAATTTCTCTTATTTCGCGATTATCGTATAGTCAACCAACTTGTCGAATCCCACAGTATTCAGTGCTTAACACTTAAACTACCGATCAGTTGAATGAACTTTGTGAAATTACTCTATAAATATTCCACGAACGCATCTACTGAAACTTCAATTGGTTTACAAACCAGCTTGCGTGTTGCTAAATCAATTTCTTTAATAATTTCTCAGAGAAACGTCTGTTATCTTTTTAATAATTACAACAAGAAGAAATCGGAAATGGGTAATTTTGACCTGTCTGGCAGTTTCAGTGCTTAAATGGTAACCCGGGCCACATTCGCCCGCAACAATTAACTCGAATCGTGGTTAATTGCTGATTTATCTTAACGCCCGCCGCGCAAACCCTCCGGCGGGGAAGTTCCCTCGGCCGGAGGCGCACCGGAGGCCGTGAAACACGAACGATGAAAAACGACGCGTAGGTGGACAAGCTACTCCTCCGTAGGCGGGTCTCTCTCCGACCGTCGTTCTGCGCGAACGATAAATTTCGCGCAGATAATCCACGTTCGACGCTAAGCCCGTGGATACTTTATGCAACCCGATAAGACGGGGGAAGCGCAATCAACGGTGCACACTACGCGCGCCCACCGCTCGCAAACAACTGTGAATTCAGCTTGGAATAATTGCGTTACACCCTCGTTCACGGGTATTGAGACACCTGTCGGTTTCATTTAAAAAAAAAGCTGGTATGTAATCGGTGTTACGTAATCTTCGGTAATTTCTTAATATCCGCAGACTGGGACATGTGTGCGGTGTGTGTGTGTGTGTGTGTGTGTGTGTGTGTGCGTCGTTTGCGTAATTATTCTGCAAGTTTAATTGTGTAGGTATTTATCATGTTAAAAACATGTTCTGCAACTGTGACACTGCAATATGTTGATGATTTCATCTGGTTAATTCTTTGAATATAGTACGTTGATCTAGTAAATCTTTGTTTGTCTTGGTCTGAAGTTGGTTGACGTGGTGATGTTGTAAAGGAATAGTTTCGTATCAAATATAGGAAATTATATTGTAACAATGAGTATACGAAGGTTCAATAATTTTATGACAAATACCTTCGAAATAAACCT